CGGTCAAAAAAAAGAAGGTCCCCCATACCCATATTGCCAATGGACGGGGATATTGGCTGTAGCTCGTATCACGATTTAATGCATCGACTTGTGATCTCATGAGAGTCAGGGCTTGGGGTTTAGGGTTTGGATTTCCGGGAGCTTTTAAATTCTAAACCCTGAACCCTGAACAACAAGAGCGTTTTGGTAACCATAATGGCCGCTAAAATTCGAGATTTGTCTATCATATGACTCTTCTGAAGTCCTTGTTGTTAAGGTTTAGGGTGACCAAAATTCTGTTCTTACTTGTGTCTCCCCCTCGGGCCGCAGGTCTTGCATGAAGTAATCGGGCCTCGTTACCCAGGATCAGGACTGGAGCTTCGAGCTCGGCGCATGGAGTTTTGGCCCCTATGCAACTGCAATAAGGATCTGTACTGGGGCCCCTCTTCAGGGGAACCCTCACATAAGCCATGGTTCTCTATTAAAGCTATTCTTCAGACTTGTCACGCTTGTGTATACCCAACTGGGAACCAACTCAGGTGACGTTGCGGGGCGGCACGAACCCTAAACCCTGAACGCTAAACCACATGTCAGCTAACGAGGTCCATGCGCGATACCCTATAGCATAAGTATACCAGAGATCCAGGATCCTGATGTAGGAAATTTTGAGGCTTCTACACCACAGTCCGTATGAAGCCCTACATGACCCGAGTTTCCATCTCATGTTCCATTTTCTCTTCCATTTGATTCTCCATGTATTGGAAATTATTGCGGCCTGGACAAAAGAGAACATGTCATTCTGGTGCTTCATGCTTTTGCAGCCCGTTCTATCACTTATCCATGGTTTACGGTGTTTTTTTTACTAATGCCGGGCGCACTCATCTGCGCACATTGGCGCCGATTATGGTTTGGGTAGGGCAGGGTAAAGCATCTTATGACCCCTCTTCTGATCCTCTCTTTACGTAATCTATGTTGCGCTGCTCTTCTTCATAAAAGGATTGCATACCACCCGCCCTACTCCCCCTCCCCAAAAGATACCCCCAAATAGGGCCTAATTGAGGTCCTTTATTTGGGTGCGTAAACCCTAAACACTAAACCGTAGAAAGAGCAAAGGGGGGTGTACGATAGTAGGACCCCATGAATTCCAGCTCCATCGCCCCGCATTTACCATGAGTCCGGCATCCTTAGGTTTAGGGTTTCGGGGTTTAGGGGTTTAGGGGTTTCGGGGTTTAGGGGTTTCGGGGTTTAGGGGTTTAGCGGTTTCGGGGTTTAGGGGTTTCGGGGTTTAGGGGTTTAGGGGTTTAGGTTTTGGGGTATAGGGTTTAGGGTTTAGGGTTTGGGGTTTAGGGTTGGCCGCAGTGTTGCGTAGCGGCAGTGATACATGGATTGTACGGCTCATCAGCCGTTTTTTTTGCTTGCGAACCGCAGCCATGGCCCGACTTACAACTCACCCACTCCACGCCGTCCAGGGCGGCAAACCACCCTAACCTATACAGGGATAATGGAAAAGAAAATGGAAACTACTGTAGTATATTGGGATTGTATTGGGTTATAGGTTTTAGGACCTAAACTCAGCCAGGTCCATCTTGGTCAACAACACCAATTCATTTCATTTAGTGTTTTCATTGTCGAAAGGATCTCGAAGCTTTTTGCAGGCCCTTATGAGGGTCTGGAGAGGGTCTGTCTCTGAGCCGAAGGTCTTGGGAGGCTGTCTTTGCGAGGTTCCTGCCCCGAAGCCTGGGAGCCCCTCTTGACAGGTGGGTGGGCGGACCCTGGCCCTGGGAGGCTCTGTGAGGAATTCTTGAAGCATGACTTCGCTCGCAGAGGAGGCCCTGGACCCCCCTAAAAACCAGCCAGGCCGCCAGAGCTTGGGCTGCAGGGTTTAGGGCATGTGCTACAGTATGCCTGGCTGTGGGAAGGCAGGTGAGCGTGCTGGATCGACCTGCGCCATCGATGCCGAGGGGCTTAAGCGCCGCCCACCATCGAAGGTGGGCGGCCTATGCCATGAGTTTACGGTTGAGGGTCTAGGGTTTAGGGTTATGCTGCTGGACTCCTACTTCGCCGTGCTGTGCTTAAGCGTTTGTCTTCGTGTTCGTTTAGGGCTTTGGTCTTATGGTTTAGGGTGGGGGCTTGCTACTCATTTTGAACTAGACGGATTTTAGAGGGAGACCAATTTCTGACATTTCCGGCCCTACGCCCCTGAACCGACATCCCATAGCCTCACATCCTGAATCTTAAATCCTAAACCCGCACCCTGATCCTAAACCTGCAACCGTGCATCCTAAATCCCCTAAACTCGGAGCCCTACAACTTAGCCCTTTATCCCCTACCTAAACCCCCAAAGCCGGTAAAATGATGGTCTAATTACCCTAGAAATAATCACAAACACTCTACATGCTTTGGGGGTCCTGGTACCCATATCATATCATGTAGCCACCAGATCCCCCTTTCAACCCTAAACCCTGAACCCTAAACACTAAACACCTACACCTACCTGCTTTGGGGCTCCCGGTAATGACAGCCCGAAGTCTCCTGGCCTGAGGGTCTTCGTAATCTGCAGAACGCCCGAAGAGGTCACTGAAAAGGATCAAGGTTGCTGGAAAAGGGTTTAGGGTCTAAGGTGGGCATCTAGGGACCATAGAGGGATGATAAGGGGATTACGGAAGTCCTTACTTAGGATAGTATGGGGAGTATTTTGTAACGTCGCATATGCTCGGGTTAATCTCAGCTTGGTTGCATGAGGGTTCAGAGGTGCGGAGTAGGGGTTTAAGGTTTAGAATGGGTTCAGGGTCTAGGGTTTGAGGTTTGGGGTTTAGAGTGGAATCATCAGGGCCGTATAATGAAGACAATGTAAGGTTTAATAGGGACATAGGCTTAGGGGTCCCTACTAGAGCCCCCTCTAAGGAACCCTACATTCCTGATTCAGATCACCTCCAGATAACAGGTTCTGCCACAAATCAGGGATGAGTACCGCTCAACTATAGAAGATTAAGGTTCCTGGCTTCACGGCAAGGGGAGTTTATGGCTTTCAGTGCGTTTTGAACTTGCTTAAAGATGTGGGTCCTTCCATGGAGTGGTTCTGCAGAGCGATGAGATGCATATCACGGTCAAGGGTTTAGAGTAACTTCAGGGGCCCCAACTAGGACAGACCCCCCTAGAAAGGACTCCTAATTAGCACCTAAACCCCAAACCCCAGCACCTAAACCCCTTCGGGATCTACCTGACCTACGACGCTATCCACCATGCGTTGGTTCTGCATGAAGGTGCCCAGCTCAGTGACAGGCGATGATCTCATGTCGCCCTTCACATACAAATATGTCTTCAGGGTTTGGGGTATGTATGTGTATATATATATGGTGCTACGTCCACGTATATGGTAGCCTGTCAAAACTATCGTCCCTTTCTGGATCCCTGCTATAACACGCTCCTAGTATTTAGGGCACGCAAAACAGGTGACAACGATTTTGGAGCCCCTTCCCCCCCCCACCCACATGTCATACGTATATGTACATATGTGTACATATGTAGTTATATACAAATCTATGTCTATATATGTGCAATATTCGAATTATTCATCATCTCTTGCTTGCTGACAATGAAATTAGGGGGTTCCTCTCCCCCCCCCTCTCCCCCCC